ATAAAGATTTTGTTTTTTTAACATCAAAGAGTAGTGAAGAAGTTGCAGAAGCATTTAAGAGTATATATGATAACCCCAACAACCCTCTTAACTGGCCTCGGCTATTGCAATTTGATCAAGGTCGTGAGTTTATGGGAAATGTGACATTGATAATGGATGAACATAATGTTAATATCCGAAGAATTAAAGCACGTTTTAGACATACAAGCATGGCTATAGTTGATTGTTATGCCAGATTATTCGAATTAAGAGTTTTTAAAAACCAGTATGCGATAGAGTTTCTCTTACCTATCAGTGAACTCTGTAGAGAATGCAAATGGTTTGCACGAAAGATTGTTGACAATATGATGATACTCCAACTCGACAAATTGGAATGAGTCCTAATAATGCCATGAAACTTGAGCAGATATATTCTAAGCCATCAGTAAAATATAATCGTCCAATAGGTGTTAATGAATCACAACTACCAAAGGGTACTATTGTGCGATTCTTACTTGCTAAAGGAGAATGGAAAAATGATCTCTTTGAATAATACAGGATAACAGATCCCGTATGGTCTCCTTCCTTACATAAAATTCGAAAAATTGTTGTTGGGAGAAATCCACCAATGCCTGTCTTATACTATTTAGATGAATCGGGACCTTAGCGTCCCTTTGTAAGAGAACAATTAATGCATATTAAGGAAGAGCCTATGTTACCCCCTAGGTGGGTACTGGGAAATAACCGAATGCATACAAGGCGCTTTTTATAAAAGTTTCTAAGTCAACTACGCAATAGGGTATTGTAATAAGGATTACTCCTTCTCTATAACACAATGCTCTTTTTTTCTAATTATGCCGAATTTGCGCATCTAGATTCATTTGTCTTTGTGGATGAAAAAAAGGCACGATTTGGTAATGTTGATTACCACTATATTCGAAGGCCAAACCTAGCTCTTCATTATATCCATCTAGATGTAACCCTTCTAAGAATTTAGGTTTTCTGAGTGGAAATTTTTTATTTAATAAATCTTCAAAAATATATCAGCATGTTCTTTCCGGTACATTGGGGCAAATATTGCACCATCTATAATTTTGCTTCATATTTTTATACGATGCTTTCCATTGATGATCCTTTTTACATGACCATAAATATATATTAGGATTAACTTTGGCCAAACATCTCCCTTTCCGCCTCTGGGCATATGCTAAGGCTTTAGTATCAATTTCATTATAATTTTGCATTTTATTTTCTAATCTTTTTTTTCGAATATAAATAAAAAAAAAAAAAGGTACTGTCTCACGTCAATGTCCAGAACGAGGCAAAAGGGCAAATTCCCATCAATGCACTTGTGAGTATCGGGAATCCCATAAATTTCAGACAGGTGATCAACTATAGTGAAACCCTTTCCTGCCACCCGAATAATATATTTATCAAAAATTTTCTCAGAATGATAGGCATCTAGAAGAGCGATATCATCTTTACTATTAGACAAATATTGAAAATATGATCTAGAATTTTCTTGGCAAAAGTAATCGGCGTGACAAATTGTCACGCGCACAATTTTTTGACGAACATTGTTCTGTGAAATTTCATCACATGATTTCTGGTTTGGTTCTCTCGAAAAGATATTTTATAAAAATAATTGAAATTAAAAAGCATTAGAATAACAAACCATTTTTCAGCACTTCGTATATACCTCACCTAGCAATTAAAAGATAGCAAATGGATTGCGAAATATCTGGCAAGTAGATGGATTGCAAATTCAGCACTTTGTGCCTTGCAACTGATTGCATCTAAAGAGACCATGCAGGCCAGAACATAGATTCTAATTTTTTAATTCTGACATCCAAAACGGGATTCATGACGTGAGCCCCTCTTCACCCAAGCCAGTTCCCAAATCGGGATCCATGACGTGACCCAAGCTAGCATCCGAATCGGGATCCAAAGCGGGCTTGGGATCCAGACCCTCGATACCAAAGACGATCTCTAAATCAACACTCAAGGCAGAGTAAATAAGATAACCAAGACAGTCTCCAAACCGGCACTCAAGGCAGAGCAAATAAAAAAGCCAAGACAGTCTTCAAACCAGCATCCAAAGCAAAGTAAACAAGAAAACCAAGACAGCTCCCAAAAGGCCACAAAGTACCAAAAACAGAAACTAGATAACATCTTACTTATAACTAGGCAACACTTTACCCATAACTAGGTAACAACTTAATGTAACTAGGTTGTAATATATATATATTACAACCTAGTAAAAATGTTTTACTGACATATAAAATTTCTTTAAAAAAAATTAATTTTTTTTAAAGAAATTTTATATATCGGCAAAATGTTTTTAAAGATTTCTTAACTACCAGGCCGATTTTAGCATTCTTATCATCATTAAATGTATCTTGATGAGCTCTACAACTTTTGTTAGAAATCCAAGAGTAATTTACTTAGTAAGAAAAAAAGTTTTCTTTACATTTCTTTAAAAAATCTTTACATTTACTATTTGAAGATTTTATATATAATTTATATATAAA